TATAAAAAATATATATATATATATATATATACACACACCTCAAAATATTAACAGTCACTTCTAAAGCCATCCACAACTCTGCCCCTTGTCTCAGAATATCACCCTAACCGTCCACTCCGCTCTTCCCAAGACCTCCTGCTTTCCAGCTCCCTTGTCAACTCATCCCATACTCGCCTCCAGGACTTCTCTAGAGTCTCTCCCATCCTCTGGAACTCTTTACCCCAACCTGCCTGACTATCTCCCACCTTAACGGCCTTTAGGCGTTCCCTAAAGACTCATCTCTTCATGTAAGCCTATCCCACCTCAACCTAACCATCACGTTCTCAAACAATTCATCCCCACACAGCTACCTCCTCATGTAGTACTTTCCCCTCCTCTTCTGGATTGTAAGCCCCCAGGGGCAGGGCCCGCCTCACCATCTTGTCTTGAATTGTGATTGTAATGTCTTCCTTATATTGTAAAGCGCTGCACAAACTGTTGGCGCTATATAAATAATATGTAATAATATATCTCTATTTTTTTTTTTATTATTATTTTATTTATATTGTAGACTGGCTGGTTTGGTTTATTTGCTGCCATCTCACTTTTTACTCATTTTCATATTCTCTCCATCCTATTTTTTTATGATTTTAGTACTTTATTCATCTGTCGAAGCCTGCCCTGTGTAGACATCCGGAGACTGCTGCCATCTTGGATGTGATGTCAGCACCCCCAGCAGACTAATAGCTGTCACTCCAGTAACAAGCACTGGTACTCACCTGTACTACTCTCCTGCCAGCTACATAAAAAAAAGTTTATTTAGAGGTTGAGAGGAGGGGCAGAGGAGCTGGGCCAGCCCAGAGAGTAATTAGAAGCAGAGAAGAGGACTATGACATGCAAGATGAAGGGGGCTGTGCGTAAAAGAAGTTGCCCACCACTGAATAAACCAGGTGAGATAAATTTGGTCAAAACAAAAGAATAAAGATGTAGAGAAGTCCAAACTTCCCAGAATATACGGAAGTTCACATGATTACCCAACATTCACCACCCTCAGTGTGTCACACAACAGACTCGGCAACTAAGTTTTCCTGGCTCCCTGGGGATCTACATAGTCCACTCAGATCTGACTGATCTAGACACAGACTGAAGCCATGAAAGCGGGTTCTGAGTGTGCCGAGTCCACATGTACATTGTGTATGTCCCCACAGGAGGAGATGGAACCGTGTACAGTAGGAATACATTACATGTAAACACAGAAGGCGTCATCCCGCAGGCGTTAACAAGAGTTCCTAACACTCCGGAGACAAAATAAAACAGTTGTTGGAGCCGGTGTCACATTTTACAGCTCTCTGCGAGTCTGTGACAATTGGCTGTGAGGTTACATGGCAGATGCTTCATGGGAGGTACACTACTGCCCTGTATACTGGGGTAATGGTGCTCACAGACACCACAGGGAGATCTGGCTGCTGAACCAATGTTCTTACACAGATCATTCTACACACGTGTAGATTCCCATAGGGGGACTTTGTTTGCCTGTGGCTATGGAGGGGGGTGGATTTAGCGTCACTGTCATTGCTGGTGACACTGATCTGTAGACTGAACCCAGTGCGAACCTGAGCTTCTCCAAAACACAGAAGTCCCACCCGCCCAATCAGCTACAGGTCGGAGCATTCCCCGGCCCATGGGATGCTTGAACTGACATCACTGACCTTATATGGCCTGGTTAGGTCAAGGTAATTGTCCAAATATAGACATGTGGCCAATAAAGGTTAATGACATCACTGCACTCCGCCACTTTGCTTACCACCAGCTGTGGGTGGGAAAGTCCCTGGCTGCAGCTGATTGGGCGGCAGCGGAAGGAGCTTCCTCCCCTGTTCAGAGAAGCTTAGGTTTGGACCAGTTTGGTCAGAACTTGAGCTCCTCCCCAACGATCAGGACAATTCTAGAGGGTGAATTTCCCCAGACAGAAATAACAACCTGACAGCGGATCCAACTCCTCACCACTCTATCCATACCTTAAAATAAAAAGTCCTTTAGTTGTACTTTAAAGCCGAACTCCAGCTAAGAGAGAGCTGGGGGTGTACGATTGGCTGAACAATGCCTGCATTGCCTATAGTCTCTGACCACCCCCCGCGGCACGGCCACAATCTGACCACCTCCCGCGGCACGTCTGCGGTCTCTGAAAATCTCTTGTAGCATCCCTATAATCTGACAATCTCCTGTCGCACATCTGCAGGCATTGTTGGGGTATTCAATAGCTGGCAGCAGGTTGTCATGCTGGATTGAGGAATCTAATGATTTCTATCAGCATATGCAACATTTTTATTTTACAAACCTGGAGCCTGGTGATTGGCCACAGGAGGGTCACATGTTCCCTCAGGGCTTATTCACAATAGGCCACACACGGTATGCTCTGTATCCAGGGTGCACACCAGTGTGTGTTGTGTTCAGGAGGTATGATGTGTTGTTACAACACATTGTATTGTTCAACTTTGTTTCACTTTTCTTTTTTAAAAGGAGAGCTATGGGGTCAGGGCTTTTCCCAATAGTTCTCTAAGGGTAACGGGAGGACACAAACTAGCGTCACCCAAAGCTCAGTATACCGCGAGCTGCAGTTTGTGGTATACTGAGACGCCACAGCTGAAGCGGATCCCGACAATTATGTCTGGATCCGCCCAGCTGCGGGAGTGACAGCTGGCTCTGCCTATCTAGAGGCAGAGCCAGCTGTACCCGCCCCCGTCCGTTCCACCAGTCAGCGCTGGAGGATCGGAGCGGGGAATCCAGCCCCTCCCCTGTCGCGGCTCTCTGCCGTGACAGGATCGAGAGGTGAGCGAATGCCGGTATGTGTTCGCTCACCTCCCGATCTACTGAGCCGACCTGTGACAGTCTCATTGTCACAGGTCGGCTAGAACTATGAGGTGAGTGAAAAGCACTCACCTCATAGTTATCCTTTAAATTTATTGCAGAGTCAAATAAATGACATCAGGAATGACTCCTTCCCCTTGCAGCGTGTTGTGGCATGTGTTGTCACATGGTGTTGTGTGTTGCACTGCATATAAACACAGACATCCTTGGGTTTATCAACAGACATAATGCGATACATGGAAGCACCTGAGAGTTCTGGAGGTGGAGGAGTGCAGGATGCTTACTAGCCCTGCTATAAAGTGAACCTGTTACGTGTATAGTACGGCAAAGCAAAGAACAACTTTACCGCTGAACTCCGGGAATAAAAACTTCAATTTAAATATCATCCGCAAAAGCCACAAAGGATGTAAATCCACATTGTGTACACCAAATGACCTTATAAACACAATCATTACCTTGCAAAAGTAATAGTGACTTCATCACTGTGCAGAGAGCAGAGCTGTGGGAGGGACCTAACAGACCCTACCCACTACAGTCTGTCTGCAGAAAACTACAGGAGGGGGCGTGTACAAGACCAGTCAGCCTGAACAAGGAGAGAGAGCAGCAGTGACGGGTCTTTTTATCAGGGAGCTCCAGCACAGAGGTTAAGTGATCACTGCACAGACCTGGAGAAATACAGGAAACATCTCTTGTATTTAGACAATATTTGCTGATCCCGGAGTTCAGCTTTAACTTCAACAGGCCCAAACACTGCCTATTGGGAGACCCTTCAAAGCAGGAGTGACCTCAATACAATCCTTTACCACCCAATAAATGTAAAAACTCTGTAAAGTACATCACTGTAACAGAAAGGGCATAGAGCCATCAAAAAAGAGGAGCATGGGGCGGAAATATTCAACCAAACCTCCATTGTTCATCACATGCATAGTGAAGAAGAATCTGAAGCTGTGCTCACATCCTGCATGGTGTTCTAGACATAGAATAATAAATGGGACCGGGCAATGTACAACGCATAGAAGATATGATGGGCTCAGTGTCACATGAGTACCAGCCCAATCACAGAACCAGTATGAGGTTGTATATAACAGACTGGAAGCCAGCTCTAGACTCTAGCCATGATGTACAATGTGCCGTGTGATGTGTATAGTCATTGGGGTCAGACATGCATACATTAGAACAACGCAACATTTCAGACACAAAGTTTATCCAGCAATGTCATGAAATCCCCCCCCCCCCCCCATCTCTGCTGTCACGTGCTCATGACAGGTGTCGCCAGCTGTTCCCAGAGCTGAGGGTGGCAGCAGCACACACCCTGCCATCCCCATTATACTTAGGAGGGCATGCTCTGCCTTTCCTAGAACAAAGTGCCCAAAGCCCTAATGGCACCGCAGGGAATATTAACACTGATCTGCCCACCCAGCTCATCCGCTGGCACAGACAATGGCCGTTTCTAATCTGATTGACTCCACTAAACTGGATTAGCTAATCCAATCTATTAATTGCTTGAGTTAATTGTGTGTGATCCCAGCAGAGGATAGAACAGGGGCAGGGGGGTTGATCCATGCCATGGTCTGATCCCAGCTAAGGGGCAGCTGACGCCCCCACATGGGGTAGATCCATGCCATGGTCTGATCCCAGCAAAGGATGGAATCATGGCAGCTGACGCCCCCACATGGGGTAGATCCATGCCATGGTCTGATCCCAGCAGAGGATAGAACAGGGGCAGGGGGATCCATGCCATGGTCTGATCCCAGCTAAGGGGCAGCTGACGCCCCCACATGGGGTAGATCCATGCCATGGTCTGATCCCAGCAAAGGATGGAACAGGGGCAGCTGACGCCCCCACATGGGGTAGATCCATGCCATGGTCTGATCCCAGCAAAGGATGGAACAGTGGCAGCTGACGTCCCCACATGGGGTAGAGCAATGCCCTGACCTGATCCTAACAGTTGATGCCCCCACATGGGGTAGATCCATACCCTCACCTGGCAGTCATACAGTAGGACCAGCTGATCCAGGATCCACTCCTCCAGCCGCAGCCTCTTCCTCAGCTCCTTGCGGTCATACTTGACTGTCACTTTGCCCGGATGTCGTCTCTCCGGCTCCGCGGCTGTCTCGCCGGGGGACTGGAAGTAGACTCGGGGGGAAGTGGGATGGGGGCTGGAGCCGGGGCTGCTGAGGGCTGCCATGGGGGAATTATTGAGCAATGGGTGAGTCCGTTGGGGAGAGAACTAGAGGTCAAATGACAGATGGGCAGACAAAGGCAATCGTGACAACACCAACTCCGAAGATCGCAAAAAGTGCCAGCAAAGGTGCGGAAACGATCGGGAGAGAAGACACGTGTGTGCGGGACTTCCGATACTCTCCGATCATTCCATAACGTGACCCCCGGCGGTGTCTTCCCGGACTGAGCCTGAGCTGTGTGAAGTCACACTACGGCCCCTTCCATTCCCTGACCCACGTGTAGTCCCCGCACTCTCCGGCCGCTGCTGCCGTCTCTCTCTCTCCTTTGTTTCTGGCCGTCTCTCCCTGATCCTCCCTCTCCCCGCCCCCAAAAGAGACGCCCTCCCCCCTGGGCTGTCTCTTCTCTGCTTGACATGGCCGTGTCCTGCCCGCAGCTGTCACATCATCTGTCTGCCCACTTCCCCATCACTTCTCTACTGTCTCCCAACATTGCTCCCTCCCCAATGTGTACTCCTATGTACTGTCTCCTGGCATTGCTCCCTCCCAAATGTGTACTTCTATGTACTGTCTCCTGGCATTGCTCCCTCCCAAATGTGTACTTCTATGTACTGTCTCCCGGCATTGCTCCCTCCCCAATGTGTACTTCTATGTACTGTATCTACTGTCTTCTTGCATTGCTCCCTCTCATCCTGTGTACTGTCTCCTGGCATTGCTCCCTCTCATCCTGTGTACTGTCTCCTGGCATTGCTCCCTCTCATCCCGTGTACTGTCTCCTGGCATTGCTCCCTCCCTCCTGTGTACTGTCTCCTGGCATTGCTCCCTACCTCCTGTGTATTGTCTCCTGGCATTGCTCCCTCTCATCCTGTGTACTGTCTCCTGACATTGCTCCCTCTCTTCCTGTGTACTGTCTCCTGACATTGCTCCCTCTCTTCCTGTGTACTGTCTCCTGGCATTGCTCCCTCTCATCCCGTGTACTGTCTCCCGACATTGCTCCCTCTCATCCTGTGTACTGTCTCCCGGCATTGCTCCCTCTCATCCTGTGTACTGTCTCCTGACATTGCTCCCTCTCATCCTGTGTACTGTCTCCTGACATTGCTCCCTCTCATCCTGTGTACTGTCTCCTGACATTGCTCCCTCTCATCCTGTGTACTGTCTCCTGACATTGCTCCCTCTCATCCTGTGTACTGTCTCCTGACATTGCTCCCTCTCATCCTGTGTACTGTCTCCTGACATTGCTCCCTCTCATCCTGTGTACTGTCTCCTGACATTGCTCCCTCTCATCCTGTGTACTGTCTCCTGACATTGCTCCCTCTCATCCTGTGTACTGTCTCCTGACATTGCTCCCTCTCATCCTGTGTACTGTCTCCTGACATTGCTCCCTCTCATCCTGTGTACTGTCTCCTGACATTGCTCCCTCTCATCCTGTGTACTGTCTCCTGACATTGCTCCCTCTCATCCTGTGTACTGTCTCCTGACATTGCTCCCTCTCATCCTGTGTACTGTCTCCTGACATTGCTCCCTCTCATCCTGTGTACTGTCTCCTGACATTGCTCCCTCTCATCCTGTGTACTGTCTCCTGACATTGCTCCCTCTCATCCTGTGTACTGTCTCCTGACATTGCTCCCTCTCATCCTGTGTACTGTCTCCTGACATTGCTCCCTCTCATCCTGTGTACTGTCTCCTGACATTGCTCCCTCTCATCCTGTGTACTGTCTCCTGACATTGCTCCCTCTCATCCTGTGTACTGTCTCCTGACATTGCTCCCTCTCATCCTGTGTACTGTCTCCTGACATTGCTCCCTCTCATCCTGTGTACTGTCTCCTGACATTGCTCCCTCTCATCCTGTGTACTGTCTCCTGACATTGCTCCCTCTCATCCTGTGTACTGTCTCCTGACATTGCTCCCTCTCATCCTGTGTACTGTCTCCTGACATTGCTCCCTCTCATCCTGTGTACTGTCTCCTGACATTGCTCCCTCTCATCCTGTGTACTGTCTCCTGACATTGCTCCCTCTCATCCTGTGTACTGTCTCCTGACATTGCTCCCTCTCATCCTGTGTACTGTCTCCTGACATTGCTCCCTCTCATCCTGTGTACTGTCTCCTGACATTGCTCCCTCTCATCCTGTGTACTGTCTCCTGACATTGCTCCCTCTCATCCTGTGTACTGTCTCCTGACATTGCTCCCTCTCATCCTGTGTACTGTCTCCTGACATTGCTCCCTCTCATCCTGTGTACTGTCTCCTGACATTGCTCCCTCTCATCCTGTGTACTGTCTCCTGACATTGCTCCCTCTCATCCTGTGTACTGTCTCCTGACATTGCTCCCTCTCATCCTGTGTACTGTCTCCTGACATTGCTCCCTCTCATCCTGTGTACTGTCTCCTGACATTGCTCCCTCTCATCCTGTGTACTGTCTCCTGACATTGCTCCCTCTCATCCTGTGTACTGTCTCCTGACATTGCTCCCTCTCATCCTGTGTACTGTCTCCTGACATTGCTCCCTCTCATCCTGTGTACTGTCTCCTGACATTGCTCCCTCTCATCCTGTGTACTGTCTCCTGACATTGCTCCCTCTCATCCTGTGTACTGTCTCCTGACATTGCTCCCTCTCATCCTGTGTACTGTCTCCTGACATTGCTCCCTCTCATCCTGTGTACTGTCTCCTGACATTGCTCCCTCTCATCCTGTGTACTGTCTCCTGACATTGCTCCCTCTCATCCTGTGTACTGTCTCCTGACATTGCTCCCTCTCATCCTGTGTACTGTCTCCTGACATTGCTCCCTCTCATCCTGTGTACTGTCTCCTGACATTGCTCCCTCTCATCCTGTGTACTGTCTCCTGACATTGCTCCCTCTCATCCTGTGTACTGTCTCCTGACATTGCTCCCTCTCATCCTGTGTACTGTCTCCTGGCATTGCTCCCTCTCACCCCGTGTACTGTCTCCTGGCATTGCTCCCTCTCAACCTGTGTACTGTCTCCTGACATTGCTCCCTCTCACCCTGTGTGACTTCTCCAGGATTCCGGCTGATCTCATTGGGTGGAGTGTTTGATCCTCTCAGTGATGTGTGTGCACATCCTGTCACTTCACAAGTAACAATCTCATTCATTATGCAGGTCTCATTAACTATTTCACTCCCAGAGACTTCGTTTTTCTTGCACAATATAATACCTAATTTTTTGGGGGTAAAATATAAAAGATGAAGTTGTGCCAAGTAAAAAAAATAGCAAACCTGCCGAGCTTCAGAGTTGTGCTCCTGAGAAATGGTGAAAAACTACTAAACAATATAAAGTGATCTACGTAGGCACATTAGTCACTATAATTCGTTGTTATCACATTTCCCGACTTGATCTGGGTGTCTGAACTTCAGTGTCTGCTGGTCATGGAAGGGTTAAGCCCTTTGTTGTGGGATACACTGTTTTCTGATATGCTGATAATATCCTCCTAAGTCACATGAGCGTGATGTTGTCTCACCACCAACATGTGTCATTTGTTGTGGTATCGTTCTTTGTTCCTCCAATGTTTGGATCCCCTCCTCCCTCCGCTTGTCATTCAAGGTGATATCTCTTCTTCTTCCCTTTCATCTCCTTCCAGTAGTTGTCTTAAGCAGTTTGATGACCCAAAATATTCCCCTATGTTCTATGAGAAGACACAGCTTCACTGTCATTGTATCCTTCCCGAACTTGTCTGTCCCATCCTGGTATTTCCTGGTCACATGAACCCCCCTTCCCCCCAACCCGGTACAACATACATATTCATCTTCCACTTCCCACTGTGACAGTTGGCTGTGGCTTCAGGCTGATTTTCATGTTCTGTAGACCGAGTATGACAAAGAACAGGCTTCATGTCCATGATGTGGGTTCCACGTGTGACTCCTCTCAATGGTTCTATGGGTGTTTGAAGTTGGTAACATTTCTCTGGGTTACACAGAGGTCCATTGTGTATTGAAATCCCGGCTTTGTATAAGGAAAATCTGCTTCTCCAATCATAGAAAGCCATCAAACCGTTAGAAGTACATGTAGTAGATCTAGATCTGAAGATGGAGGAGCTTGTGCACAGAATTGAATCATTTCACAATCTTTGGTGGTTTTTGCACTTTAATACCATAACTGCCTATCTCTGAAACGTAAACCCTTTACATAGGAGCGATATTGATTCTTGTAAGGCCCAGTCATACTATGGCATTGCGGCACCACATGTCCTTTTTTGCATTTTAATGCTCCTGATATCCTCCAGCCTCTTTGCAGCTGCTTCATGAGTATTGCATACTAGAGCCCCTTTGGGGGTTTTAGAGAGGACTTCGGTGCTGAATTTAAACAAACATGAGAAGCCGCGGGCGCCACACTGTTTAGCTGCAGACTGAACAAAACACATCGAGTAGTGTATGGCCAGTTCTAGTATACACACAGAGACATGGACGGGTCCTGCTAGAATCTCTTTCAAGAAGCCAAAGCTATAAAGCTGATCAGATTCCAATAATCTAGCAGCTAGATTATTGGCATCTGATCAGCTTTTTAGCTTTGGCTTCTTGAAATCAATAGGTTCTCAAGACGGAAATGCTGAAAATAGCCAAGCAGCTTCCAGTCCTTGGATGCCCTCAGATATGCTTGTCAGTGGCATAGAAACATCTGATTTGTTAGGGTCTAAACACCAGTACGTCTGTTTGTTTAATGAAATGTCATCAAATCTATTAAAAAAGCTGTAACTAAGAACCAATTTCCACATATCCTTTGGGGTAGACCAGGGGTCAGCAACTCCAGCCCTCCAGCTGTTGTGGAACTACAAGTCCCACGAGGCATTACAAGTAGGGCTGCAACTAATGATTACTTTCATAATCGATTAGTCAGGCGATTTTTTATTTTTATTACTTGGATAAAAAAATACCTGACATGTGTAGTGCCATCGTAATTTTTCAATGTAGGTGCGCCCGACTTGTGTTTCCGTTAGTATACGTGCGTTTGCAGGGTTGGGGGACTTTATATTTTATGGGGAGGAATTGTTTTTTAATTTAAAAAAAAAATGTTTTTTACCTCATTGCTATCACATGGGGGGGGGGGGGGCCCCATTTGCTATCACAGG